ACTACTACTCTTTCAACTCATTCAGCCCACACAAGTACTTCCGCGGGCTCGCGGGAAGTTTCTTCCTGAATAATCTAAAAGTAAATGAAAACTGGATATCGCTACAAAAGATCATTGGATTATTGACAAATGTGGAACTTACAGTATCTAACCCACGTATGAATTATCCTGTAGTTCTTAGGATAAGCTCAAAAGAGCGAAAGCAACAAAATTCGGATTTTGTTCTCTCCGAATGGGTGTTTTCAATGATTTAGGGTCTGGAGTAATGGCTCGCCATTAGAGATTTCTTGACTGCGTGATCCTTAATGGCTCGTTTATTCACAGCCATTTGCTTCAGCGCGCGACTGACTGACACTGATGGGTGCCGAGGCGTCTCGCGGTCGAGAGCATTCATTTATGGGAAGAGCCCTGACAGATATGTTTCAGTCTCAATGAAACAAATGACGTGGCACGAACGTAGCACGAACACGCCTTCAGAGGAGCACTTTGATAGCCGGGGATCGGGTTACGATACCTGGTCACGCGAAGCTGGCGTTTCCGGAATGTCGTGGACCAGCAATTGTTCCACACCTTAACAAGCGACCAGAGGCCGCCTTGGTCGGGTTCGGCAAGGTAGGCGAGCTTCCGGGTCGGAAGGTAAAGATTGCGAAGGAAACTCGGCATTGGTCCACGGATTTTTGGGAGGCGGATTGCGTCAAAAGAGGTTCACGATCAGAGGTACCCACGGTAGATAATCTGCTCCATTTTCTACACTGATGCCACTTCGTCGGAGGAGAAGCTTCATGCAAACATGATAAGCACTGCTGACAGTCATTTGGTTTTTAAGGCCGCATTTTTCTTCGTGCAGTCATAAATCCTCTTGTTTGCCATCATGATTAAATATGGGCATTTATGGACCCTTTCTCCTTGTTCTATTTGCCTTATTTCATGTCTCATAGACATCAATCCACCTTTACGACACTCAAATACCGTTATCAAGGAGGAATTTCCAAAAACGCAAACCCAACAGCTCACACCCTCAATGCAGACCTTTCACCCCATGCAAAGTAACCCCAGGTTCCGTGGAAGTTTCCCTGACGAGTGCTCAGCTCTGCTTCAACTTACTCATGCTAAGCCGAATGCTTTGAGAAGAAATTCCCAAACAGAATGGAAAAGGGCAGAAAAACAAGTCTGCTGAATGTCTTATGATGAGAACAAAGAGGGAGAATAGACCGGAAACTTCAGATTCTTATTTTCTGCTTCCTTTCTTTCGATTTTTTTGGATTAATCCAAAATTCTTGAAGTTAAGAGGGTCTAGACTTGAACTGATGACATGACTTCGCTCTATCCACTGGTCGTTTTCCACGACCCTCAGCTTATGACCGACTGCTCCAAAAGCATTTCTCTGTTCTTCTTCTAGAGATAGAAACAACGATTCCAAAGCAGTACCATAATACCACTTTCGCATGAAGACCTTTTTTCTTTCAAGAGAAATATTCCACAGCACATGAAGGTCAACCGACGAACACTTTCCACTCGAATTTCCGCTTTTTTCTTCTCCATGGAGTGCTTTTTGAAAGCTTTTACTCTAGTTGCTTTGATAATGCTTTTCTAGTGCTTTAGTGAGGCGTTTCGCGTGCTCTTTTGGGCGAACTCTGTGGCCGAGGGGGCCATTGTGAAGTGAAGTGTTTCCTCTCCATTCAGCCTTCCGGAAGCGCG